TCAAACGAGTACCTATAAGGACGAGTTAAATTGTCATGCCTACACAGAGATGGGAATCGGAGAGGTCAAAGTGCTCTGCTCAATATTCAATTTCAGCTAACTAATAATGTATTTGGATGAAAAGTACAATAGAAAAAGTATAAAATAAGAATGACATTGATAATAAAAAAGGTAGAAATATTTTTTTTTGATGAACAAAATAACAAAGAAATTTATCTCGAATCATTAGGATGAATAAAAGAGTGATAGAAATAAATAAATAATTTTATAATAAAAGTTATACTCTTTAGAAAACTGAAAAGATTGAACTTTTTTTTACGTTATTTTCTGTTTTCACTTTTAATTTAAAAAATTGACCTTATTTTCAAAAAAATTGTTTTTTTTTTACAATTTTTTTTAAAATAATTTTAATGGACATAGTTATCAATAATCTATAAATATACACAAATAGTTAAATTAATTATAAAATATTTTTTTTTGCTGTATCAAAAAAGTATTAATAATTATAACATAACTAATGAAATAATTTTATAATTATTAATAATTTTAAAATAAATATTCATATCATATATTAATATAAAGTTTATAATACGATTTTTAATTTTCTGTTTTAAATGAAATTCAAACAATTCTTACTCTTGCCGTTAAATAAAAAACTAATTGGCTTATAGGTTGTCTTTGGCCCACAACCTGGTAAGAGTTGGGCTGGGTCAAAAGCTTTTAAGCACGATGTCGAATAGGCCTGACCCGGACTCGCAATAAGGACGAACTCTACAGGCCTGAATGCTCTAACAATCAAGAGTTACACGGGATTGGATAGGCCATTCTTGTAGTAATTATTGTATGTTTCATTCACTTGGACAAGTACCATTTCTCAAGTTTTTGGAGACTGAAGATTTTAATAGGGTGATCATTCTTTGTTGAAATTGTAGTATATTTTTAGTTATATTTTAAAAATATAAATATATTTATTTATTTCAGGTTTAGAAAATTAATTTAAATTAACTTAGTCTTTTTATTAAACTGTTTTTACTTAAATTCATCTTTGTTGACTTGGTTTTTTTAAACTGAGTATTACCTTATATTATTATGACTTAGTTTTTTAAGAGTTTGTTACACATTATCTTATTGGCATGGTTAAAAGATGATTTTCGAAATATCTTTATCTTCTTTTTTTATATATAATACAACAATTGCATAAGATTTTATATGAGCTTTCCTTACACATCTTTTCTATATTTAATTATTTATCTAATTGAGTTCTTGGATTATTCTCACTTAATAAAATAACCTAACTTTGTTAGTCATATACGTCCTTGAAAACAATAATATTACAGATATTATGTTATTTGCTTTTTTAATTATAACAATTCCAGAATACAAGAAGGATCCTGACTAAAAGATTGATGCCGAAGATGGAGAGCAGATACTACAGGAGACACCCTTTCTGTTCCGGGTGTCATGCATGCATGTGCATGTCGTGATGGTTTTTAGTTTCATTTAGCTGTTGATTTGTTGGTGCTTTAGATTCCTTGATGGATTTATCTAGTTGTTTTCTTTATCTGCTTCTTCATGAACAATTTATCATGTCCCTCAGCCACAGGTGTAGTTATATATACTGTTAAGATGCCATTAGCTGTTTCTCACCATTTCTTTTTCTTTAGGAAATCAGAGCTCTTAGCGAGTTCACATTCCAAAATTTTATTCTTCCCTTCTGGCTCGTTCAAACTTCATACTTTGGGTCTGTCTAGTATTAAAATATGTTTTCCCTTTAATCATAAGACATGAAGGAAGCTTCTCGCGTGATTTCCATCAAACTACTGGTTTATTCTTCCCCTTTTTAAATTGTGGATAATCAATAAAATAAATAACCAATAAAAATATATGACATTCTTGATTCTCCAGTTATTTTAGTACGGTGACGTTGTTAAAATAACTGACAGCGGGTAGTTAGGTGACACTGAGGTATCTTTTTATTTGATAAAGAATTGTATGAATCTTTTGACAAGAAGGGCCTAAAAACAAAGGGCTTTGGGTATCTATCTTAGGTTGAAGGGAAATAGTATTAGTTACCTTACAACTTTTATTTTGTCCCTTATAATATTTTTTTGTTTCAATTTAGTCCCATTTTAATTTTTGGTTTCAATTTGGTCCTCAATAATTTAAATTATTGCAATTTGAGACTTCCATCCAAATGATTTAAACGGAGTTAACAGTTGGCCACGTGGATGCCGGTGGATGCCACGTAGATGCCACGTAGATGCGTAGGTAGATGCCAAATTTCTTGAATACACCTAGAACCAGAACGGCCCGTTCTGAAACCAGAACGACCCGTTCTAGTTGCAGTCTGGGTGTGTTAATTTTGTATCTGGAACGGGCCGTTCCAGATGCAAAATTAACACACCAATAGTGTAACCAGAACGGACCGTTTTGGTTTCAGAACGGGCCGTTCTGGTCCAGAATGGTTAATGATTATAGTTCACGGTTGTGAATCGTGCAAGGAAAAAGACCCAAGGTACAAAGCATTTCAAATACTAGATTTGGTAATATTGTCAATGGGGATTGATAACTTCAATTGCTAAACATTTGGGTTATATAGTGTATCATTAAGGACGATGCAATATATCACTAAGGACAATGGTAACAGGTTTTATTTCATTGTTAGTCAAACTGGAGTGAACCACTTACTACCAAATTGACACTATACAATCAAGGATGAAACGAAACGGTGTTTCTCCTTGAAGTCATTGACGATGTACCCCAACAATAACAACCTGTTCTTGAGGAGGTACAACCTGAATTTTTGTGGTTTAGGATTTCCCTTCAACGTTACCCAGATGATTTCCTTTCTCAGTAATTTCTTTGAACTTTTTTAGTATATGTTATGTTCTGAATTTTTATTTTTAGTTTCTGAACCATGTTTCTGTCTTTGAATTTATGATATGTTTGAATTTTTATTTTTATTTTTTAAATCACATTGCGGCATTTTGGTCAATGTATGCATGAAGTTGGCGTTCTGGAACGAGCCGTTTTGAATCTAGAACGGCCCGTTCTTAAACCATAACGGCCCGTTCTGCTACACTCATGGTGTGTTAAATTTGCATTTAGAACGGCCCGTTCCAGTTGCAAAATTAACACATAACATGTGCAAGCAAAACGGGCCGTTCTGGTTTCAGAACGGGTCGTGCTGGTTCCAAGTGTATTCATGAAATTTGGCATCCACCTATGCATCTACGTGACATCCACCTGGCATCCACGTGACCAACAGTTAACTCCGTTTAAATCATTTGGACAGAAGTCCCAAATTGTAATAATTTAAATAATTGGGGACCAAATTGAAACAAAAAATTAAAGTGAGACTAAATTGAAAAAAAATAATATTATAAGGGACCAAATAAGAATTTTAACCTATTAATTATGTTACTAATTGAAAGGTTTACACGTTGGTATAATAGAACATGCACAAAAAGCCTTGTCTCATGGTATCATTGATTAAGGTCTTCTTGCTTCTTCATGTTTTGGTTAGACATATTTTTCTTTTGGTGTTAACATATAGACTTTCCTCCGAAACTGATGACTTTTCTAACCGTAATATTTCATTCTCAAGTTTCCTTACTTCAAAACAGATCTTAACTCCGGTTATCATTACCAGCGGAAAAATTTAACATGTATATTATACGTACTAAAATAAATATACGTAATACATTGTTTTTCGAAGAAAAAAAATATACGTACTATATTTGTTTTTAAATATACGTAATATTTAACATGTATATTATACGTACTATAAATGACAAAAATAAATTGTACATAGCGTGTAATATACGTAAGAGATGATTATCCTTTTAAAAATCAATGCTTCTTAGTTCTTTCTTTAACTTGCGGAATTAATTTCACATATCCTAATATATTTTAATATTAAAATAAATTTTGTATTATGGAAAATATACTTTAATATAAATTTATGATTAAATATAATTTAATGAAATATTAAAATATATCTAATATTGAAATTTAATTATATCAAAATTAATCATATCACAGTTAAAAAAAGCAGACATTACTCAAGAAATTATAAACAAACATTTATTATTTTGAGTTGTACAAATGTCTCCTCCTAACTCCTAAGGTCATACAAGTTTAATTAAAATAATTATTATCAAAAGATTAAAAGTTCTTATCATTTTAACTTGATATATTTACTCATGTGTTTAACTTAACTTCACATAAAAAAAAAAAGAAAAACAAAAACTTGGGTGTAAAATATCTATTATGTTTTACTGATGACTAATTAATCTCTGCTTAGAGATTTGACTGATCATTTTTAGTAAAATTTTATTTTTTAATTACATTTTTTTTAATTTATAAGATTCAAACTAAAACTATTTCGATCAGTCTCATTTAATAAATGAACAATTTGTTGGTACTTGACTTATTATTATTATTATTATTATTATTATTATTATTATTATTATTTATAACTTTTTCTCACTCATCATCTCATTTAGGGGATAAACTAGTACCTTCAGTACAACTTCATGTTATGACTCCATATTTAAGTAAAAAAAAACATAGATATTTGTGTTACTTAATATTTTTCTATCATTAGGAATTTGAATGCCTAACTATTTATTCACATATTTGTTTGTTTTTGACAACATATTTACATATTTATTAGAAGATTATGAAGAATGTGACACCCTTTACCCCAACGTTAATACACAATAAATGTAAACAATAATTTCTTTCTCTTTTTGAGTAAATAAAATCTTTCATAGTTTAATAACATCTTTCATGTATAAAACATCTGCTTCAAATCTCATAAGGTAGAAGGTTCACATTCGTAACTCATCAATCATAAAAAAAAAGTCAAAGAAAGGAACATGAAAAGAATCGTAGTCGGAAGTGAAAGCAAAAAGGGAAGGGAAAGCCCAATTCTCCTGATACCATATTAACAATATAGAAGCAAAATTGATGAAAGGAGAAGAGATAATACTTTGTTATATTCCAAGGGTTTCTGAAACAATTGCAGATAACACTGACTTGGGAGAATTGTTTTCTTGACCAAAATCTGATGACTTGAGAGAATTAGACCTCAGAGGGTGTTCGGAGTTGGAAATTTCTTTCTTTGGAATCTCAACTAGTTTACGAGGATAAGGATGAATTGGCTTCCGCTTAGGTCGTGGAGGTGGAATTTCAATTGATTCCTCCAAGGCTGTGCTGTTCCCACTAGACTCTCGAACAACCTGCATTAAGTTAAAACAAAGGAATTAGATTGAATTTAAGATGAACCCTTCAACTTCACCCCAAGGAAATTTGCACTTTTGCATATCTTAAGTTCATCTCATCACAACTTTAACTTAAGGCATGGCTCATGATATATTTAAAATATGTTAGATGATGTGTATTGGAATAGCAATAAACCTTAGAAAAAAACTTCTGAGCATGACTTCGAATCTGAACAGCAGTCTTTGTGCCAACATGTTCTGTGGTGAAAATAAAAGGATCCAAAAACTTAGACCATACTTATTGATTCACTAGTTTATATATATTCTTCTGCTACAATCTCTATGGCATACTTTGCGAAAGATATGAAAATTCTAAATTAATTATACCTTCAATCCGTCGCCAGGCCCGGCCATATAGCTTTAAGGCTTCAAGGAACTTCTTATGTTCTTCATCTGTCCACCTCTCTCTCTGCTTTGTGATAGTATATGGTTTTCTTACCTGTTGATGCAGATATAAAATTGATTAAAAGTTTAAAACAAAGGTGACACTGTCACAGATGTGAAAATCAAATTTAAAATTCTACAAACACATAAGAATCTAGAGAGGAGAACCTTCAAGGCATAGTCATTTCCACAAGAAAATTGATCATGTAGTGAAATATCAGCAACAGAATGCACACCAGAATTCAAAGATATTCCATCTCCAACTGGAAGACCACCCCGTGATCTAGTAAATGCATTTTGGCCCTGCATCCAGTCCAAATAGCAAATAAATAAGAATCAAGAATAAAACAAAAATTTTCTTGCAATAGAAATTTCAAGTAAAATTAAATGAAAATCACAACCAAAGAGTATTCATCCACCAAAGAATCATTCATCTCTTGGTAAATATCAACCAACAATCAAGATTTCTTCATTAAATGACCCTGAAGTTTTTATTCTTTAGTGAACAGAAAAATTGCGCCATTGATGAAGATTATAAGATCTCACGTAGGCAAAGTGTTCTTACTTCTTAGCAAACTATTAACTAAACCAGCCATCAAGATTGCTCTACTCCAAGAATTATAGTTTTCGCCATTCAGGGGTTGGGAAACAATAAAAGCTCCTGGATTGTCCGATGGATGAAGAAAGTAAGGATTTGCATAATCATCAGTAGGTAGGGATGAAGAATTGTTTGTAGAAGCCATCACGAACGGAAGTGAAGGAGGAAAGGAACATGAAAAGAATCGTAGTCGGAAGTGAAAGCAAAAAGGGAAGGAAAAGCCCTATTCTCCTGATACCATATTAACAATATAGAAGCAAAATTGATGAAAGGAGAAGAGATAATACTTTGTTATATTTCAATGAATTAAAATACATCTCATATATATAGATATGAGAAATAAGAGGCTAAACTGGGTGTTACAAAGAATATATTCTCGAAAATGTTTTACTTTAAAAATTTTAAAACCTTCATATTTGACACACTTTTCATTCCCGTACGAATAAAAGTTCCTATTTTTTTAACATCAAATTAAAGATATTTTTTAATAACTATTTCTTCCCACTTTATTATTCCACATTTCTTTATCCGTTTCTATTACTTTTTTTAAAATTAATAAATGTCAACCAAATATGTTGACATCCTCTAACTATAATATTTTCTAAAAATGAGATTTCCGAAAGTATAATATGTATTTTAAAACAAATTAAGAATCCTATAAAGTGTTGAACTACTTATGCTTGACTTTTTATGTTTGTTTTGTATACTTATATTTGACTTATTATTTTAAAACATTTCGTCATAACTTTATATAAAAAATAGAAATAATTTTTAGCAATTAAATTCATTTAATTTAATGATAATTTGTTAATTAAATGGTTATGTATTAAACAGAATATTACATAATCATTACTACGTATATTATTAATATAGTTCAAAGTTCAAACGTATTTTTATGATCCAATATATCATTTTTATTTTAAATGTTGTTGTCTAACTTTTTAAAACTACGTGTTTTCGGTTCTTATCATTAACGGGAACTAATAACTATACCCGTACTATACATGGATTTATGTTCATGAATATTAATATAATTAAATTTTAAATATATTTTAAATGATAAATAATGAATAATTAATAATAATAATTATAATTATTAATAATTAGTAATTATTAATAAATAACATAAATTTTATATTCAATATGAATTTTGATATATTTATTTGTTTTAATTTTTATAAATGTATGTTTTGATAAAAATATAATATATAAATAATATTCATTTTCTTCCTTTTATTTTGATATATTTGGAGGGAACTTTGAAAATGTATTATTTTGTTAAAAACTTTTTTTTGTGTATTGATGGAAAATATATTTGTTTTTTTAATTATTAAAATATTTTTATCCAAATTTTTATTTTAATTTTGATATATTATTTATTTATTTATTTTCAATAGAAATTTATTTTATACTATTTCAAAATTTTAATAATAATTACTAATTATTAAAATATTTTAATCTTAAGTTTTTTTCATTTTGATATAATATGTGTAAAATGTAAATGATTGTTAATTATTAAAATATTTTAATCTAAATTTTTTCTTTAATTTTGATATATTTATTTCGATTTAATATGTGTAAGTTGATTAATTTTGTATTATTTTATAATAATTAGAAGGAGTTTTAGAGAGAAAAAGGTTGAGAATTTTAGAAGAAAAAAATTATTGTAGAATTATTTTCCTTTATATTATTAATTAATTTATAGATATACTATATATACTAAACGATGACTTAGCAAAAAAGCATGGCACTCACCACTGCCGTGTCACAACCTTAAACCCTAATTCCACATCACATTATTAATCTTATTCATCCTACCTTTAGTTTATTCATCACGTCTTGTTCTTCAGACATGTCTTTTTCTATTCATATCTTTCTCAAATAGCCGTATGAAACCCAAATGCGTTTCCAGCATTATGGCCATTGGCCACTGCAACATTGCTTCAACACGGAAAGCACCATAACTATCAAACGCCACTTCTACAGCGTTGGCCTTTCGCCACCCATCTAATTATGATATACACCAATCTGATTCATTAATATTCGGGTAACATCTTTGTTCAAAGAAATGATCTCTAATACTCTTGCCACGTCATATGATGTACAAACAATTCCGATTAAAAAGGTTTTTTATTAATTAAAATTATAATAACACCATAAGAGTTTAAATCTAATAACAGTGTATGAGTTTAAATCTAAGATGTATATAAACTACTCTAACTCTAACTTCTCACCACTATATCGGTATTTCAATAAATAAAGTTAATATAACATATTCTGTGTAATCTATATAAAATTCAAAAAAATTATTTATCTTTATTTTATTTTCTAATTATTAATCATTAATAAAATATTAATTTAAAATCTTATCTAATTATATCATAATATTTTCATATCAATTTAAAATCATATGTTAATTATACAAAAAAATATCTAAATCATATAGTAAATTGTAATAAGATTCTAGGTAAATAATTTAAAATAATTAATTTTTTAACTATATTGTTTGTAAATAATTTATTCCAAAGCTAATCAATTTTTTCTATATTAATTATTCGTAAAATTAATAACTTTTAATTTAATAATTGGATCGATGAAATTCAACATATATCATGAGTTATTGAGCAGAGTAACTGTACCAAAAGTTACTTTGTGAGTCATTTGATTCCTCTCTCTCTCTCTATATATATATAAATAGTTAAAATTTTATTTATGCTATCTTTTTTAATATATGATTGTCAATTTTCGTAAAAAATTCTTAAGTTTTTGACAAATATAAATTTGTCGAAAATTTTTTATTAGTAATATAACTTTTCCTACGATTTTTTTATCGAAAATATAAATTTTTTGACATATTTATATTTGTCGAAAATTACCGACGGATATATTCGTCAGAATTATAAATTTTCCGATAGATTTGTATCCGTAAGAAATTATCCGTCGAAAATATAAATTTTTTGACAGATTTGTATCCGTCGAAAATTACGACAGATATATTCGTCAAAAATATAAATTTTCTGACAGATTTATATCTGTCAGCAATTATCTGTCAGAAATTATTTGTCGGTAATATAATTTTTCCTACAAATTTTTTTTTTCTGTCGGTAATATAAATTTTTCGATGGATTTGTATCTGTCGATAATTTATATTTTTCTTGTAGTGATTTCACAAAGAATTGCAAATTGCAATTACATTTGCATTTTCGGTGAAATTTCATAGAATGCAATTGTATTATTCTTTTCTTCATTCAAATTAATTTTTAAACAATAGAATTCATATTATTTTTTGAAATTGCAATGATTATCTTCTTGAATTGGTATTCTTCGATTGAAATTCAATCTTATTATGTAATTTTCATTCATTTTATCAATTGCATTTAAATTGTTTGTTAAAAATCTCCTTACTAATTCACATTATAAAACTTGTGTTCAATAATTTGTATCTTTGGATTCTAACCTAGGGTCCCCTATATCGTAAAATTTAAAGGAAAATTAGTTTAATTTGATAGCATCTCAATAGATAGCTGTATTTATATCATTTTTTAAATTTATGTTTCATGATTGTATACATATATCAATTTCATTCTTCACTGCTATCGGCGGTGGATACTCCAGGAACGAACAAAAATATATCAATTTTCATTCTTTATCATATATAAATAAAGCTAAGCATTCAAGAAAATGGCATTGGTCTTAATTACGACCTTTGCTTGAATTTAATTATTATGTGTTTTATTTTATTCATTGTGATTTTTATGTGCTTCGGTCATTTTTTTCTTCCTATATATTTTTTTTTTTTTGCTTTGGTGAATGTTTAAAGATTTATATTGAGGGTCCTTGTAGTTATTTTTATTAAGTTGAAGCTTTAAACTGCTAAAAAGATTTATCTTGACTTAATTAATAAATTTGAAGGTAATGACTTTGAAAATGTATACGTTACAACCATTGTGTTTTATTGATTTTTTTTTTCCTATCAAAAGTGATAATCGTAGTACATGGAAAAAATATCTGATTTTGCTTTGTTTTTATTATTAAGATAGTATTTTTTTAACTCATGCAATAAATTGTGATATATATTAATTAAGTAACAATTCTACTTTTAACTTGTAGTTATTTTTATTAAGTTGAAGCTTTAGAATGCTAAAAAGATTTATCTTGACTTAATTAAAAAATTTGAAGGTAATGACTTTGAAAATGTATACGTTACAACCATTGTGTTTTATTGATTTTTTTTCTTTCTTATCAAAAGTGATAATTGTAGTACATGGAAAAAAAAATCTGATTTTGCTTTGTTTTTATTATTAAGATAGTATTTTTAACTCATGCAATAATTTGTGACATTAATTAAGTAACAATTCTACACTAATGCAAAAAGATGCTTTTGCGTCACCTAAATGACGTCGGAACAAGGCACCACCAACGTTATAAAAATGCGGTGGCAGAATGGTAAATAATGGGAACTAATTTACGTCGGACAAAGGGGGGTCCGACGTAAATTAGCCCATTAACGTCGGAGCTGTCACTGTCCGACGTAAATTTACGTCACACCACTCTAACCTGACGTAAATATGCCCCTAAAATCATGCACCTTTCATTTTTCATTCCCGCGCTCCCTGTTTACGGAAACTAATAATCCCTTTTCTCTCATTCTCTAACTCTCCCAGTGCGTTTGTTTCTACATTGGACGTTTGTAACTCTCTAAGTGTCTGCACATTACACGTTTGAGGTTAGTTTCTTGTCTACGCAAATTTTTGGTTTATTTTCTGCTCTTTGTTCATCTGGAACGGGCCGTTCTGGTTGCAGAACGGGCCGTTCTGCAAGCAGTACATGCCATTCTGGTTGCAGAACGGCCCATTCTGCTTAAATTTTTTGTATTGTAAATTGTTGATCTGGAACGACCCGTTCTGATTTTAGTATGGGCTGTTCCAGATGCATTAAAGATGAAATTTTTTAGGCATTGAGCTTTAGTTTACCATCGTATTAATAGATAAGAGATGAACATTCTCACACAATGCATTAAATGTTTGTAGTAACGACTAATTCACTATATTTCTCTAGTCTTGAACAGAAGACAAAAAAAAAAGCATCTTGAAAGGATTGCTCAACGGTCATTTTCTTCCAAGCTATTATATAAGGGATTCTCAATCAAGATAACAACAGTACATATAAGAAAAGGATACAAAGAGCAAGGAAAATAATAGAAAAGAAACAAAAGTGCATACCTTGTAGAACATTATGGATTAAATGTTTGTAGTAACGACTAATTCACTATATTTCTCTAGTCTTGAACAGAAGACAAAAAAAAAAGCATCTTGAAAGGATTGCTCAACGGTCATTTTCTTCCAAGCTATTATATAAGGGATTCTCAATCAAGATAACAACAGTACATATAAGAAAAGGATACAAAGAGCAAGGAAAATAATAGAAAAGAAACAAAAGTGCATACCTTGTAGAACATTTTTGTCTTGTACAGTTTATTTGTGCTTAATTTTCATAGCATCACGTCTAGAAGAGACGAAACTATCTTTATAACTCTTTCCAAATTTCTATTTGTAAGAGTTGAGTCTAAAGAGACTTGTAGTTAAAAATTATTTGGTTATTAAGCCTAAAGAGGCTTAGTTGTTAAAGAATACTTGGGGTTGTTTGCTTAGAGAGGCAAGTAAAAGATTACTTGGGTTTGAGACAAAAATGACTTGTCAAAAGAATACTTTTAGACATTGTCTCTACATTTAAGACGAACCAGTATAAAAAAACTTGTGCTCCTTCGTCTATTGCATTTTAGCACTACATTTGTCAAGTTTTTACTACTTCACTATTTTTTAATGAGTTTTTGATATACATTATTCAACCTCCTTCTAGTGTGTATTTTTTTTCCCAACAAGTGTTAATTTTAGATGAGTTTCAACAACATATATTGTGAGTCATTATAACTTATATACCTATACTTTTTAACAATTGTGAGAAATATTTACTAACACATACCAGCATATATTATAGGTAAAAGTAATTTTTAGTGACAAATATTGTGTCACTATAAAACAATTTTTTGTAGTGAACATAAGTGATTTGAAACTCAATCCATTTTCATAATCAATATTAGATATTGGAAATGAAAAAATATCTGAATTAAAAGTTGATTATGTTTCCATTGATATTTCACAAGATTTTTTCACAACATACTTTGATGATTTCACAACTACCATTGTTTAAAACACATAACCTAACTTAATTTAAATTTTTTCTTTATAATCTAAAGATATTTTAGCATCCATCATTGAGACCATTGATCAAATTATTTACTATGTCCTGTCTTTGATTTTAATTATTTTATATAATATAATTGAATGCAAACTTAATATTAGCACTAGATATATTTTATATATTAACACTTTTATATGTGTAACATTTATCATAGTAGTTGTCTAAGTTGTTTTGTAAACGTATTTTTTTTTTTGTGAGAGTTAATACATAACAATGATCTTAAATATAAGATGATTTAAATTATTGAATGAAAAATATCTAAACGAATTATATTGGTAGATGATGAAATTTGTTTAAAGTCTCCACCAAAGAAAATGATCTTTCCTTTAAAGATTGAAGTATTATCATGATCTACTTTCATGATGTTCATTAAAATTTTATCAAGTGTCTCAAAATAAAATTTATCCATCAATAGAATTCCGTCCTATAATATCAACTTTGTTAATTTCAATAAATAAACAAATTTACTCTTTAGGTGAATGTCACAAATAGTTATCTAATACTAGGGGTGTTCATGGATCGATTTTTTGAAAAAATCAATCCAAACCGAACCAAATCATTTTATAAAAGTGGATCGGTTAATCGATCCATTTTTTATCAAGTGGATCGGTTTGGTTTTTTTAAAATATGGATCAGTTTTTTTGAAATTGGATCGGTTCGGTGCGGTACAGTTATCCACTTTTTATTCATATATTGATCGTTTTTTTTAAAAAACCAAATCGATCTATTTTGTAAAAATGGATCAGATAACTGAATTGGTTTTATAAAGTTGTTCGGTTCGGTTTTTTTCTTCAAAATGGATCGCATTTTTTAATATATAGATCGGATCGGTTATGGATCGGTTCGGATTAATTTGAATTTTTTGCACACCCTTATCTAATATGGGAATATGAATTTTAAATTTTGAGTGTGTTGTTCCACTTCTAAGTATTAATGATAAACATGTAATGTCACTTGATGTAATTATCAGTACAATTTATTATTGAAACTGAAACACGAAAGCTAATGTTTTTTTTTACATTAATGTTTTTCCAATGTTTCTATATACACCGTGTATATATCATAAACCCCAATTTGGTTTGCATAGGCCCACAAGTGATCCAAGCTGAGCTGCCCGCAAAATAAATGGGCTCTATATTTCTCTAGTCTTGAACAGAAGACAAAAAAAAAAGCATCTTGAAAGGATTGCTCAACGGTCATTTTCTTCCAAGCTATTATATAAGGGATTCTCAATCAAGATAACAACAGTACATATAAGAAAAGGATACAAAGAGCAAGGAAAATAATAGAAAAGAAACAAAAGTGCATACCTTGTAGAACATTTTTGTCTTGTACAGTTTATTTGTGCTTAATTTTCATAGCATCACGTCTAGAAGAGACGAAACTATCTTTATAACTCTTTCCAAAGGTTTTAAAAAAAAACCCCATAATTTACGTCGGACATGGCTTTGTCCGACGTAAATTTACGTTGGGCCTTGCAATGGCCGACGTAAATTTACGTCGGATATAGCCATGTCCGACGTAAAATTATGGCATGTTTTTTGTCCCTTTTTACGTCAGGCTGGGATAATATCCGACGTAAATTTACGTCGCGTTTTAGAGGCGACGTAAATTTACGTCTCCCGTATTAACGTCGGAAGCTTGTCCGACGTAAAAGGCTCAAAATACCCGACGTAAAAGACCCTTTGTGTACTAGTGCTACTTTTAATGTTACTTAAAACAAAGTTTGTAGAATAACCATTTTTTTTGTAAAGATAAGAAAACATTACAAAGATGACTACAATGAGAATTGAACGAATAACCATTTGCTATCATGAATTTTGCATATAAGCTAAAATAAAAGTTCTCCTTTTCTTTTATAAAAGTTTCTTTAAAAATTATTCAAATACGTAACAATTAATAATGTTAATTGAATGCATTTTTATCTTTGATATTATTTGATTATGAGAGTTTAATGATTAAACATTTACTAGCTTAAATTCTTACGAAAGGATAATTTTTAAAAATATAAGTTATTTTTCAATTAAAAAATATGCAACAATTAATGTTATTAATTGAATAACTATTCTAACTGAATAGCACATTTTTTAAATGAAATTTTAAATTTTTTTATATAAAATATTCAAAAAACAATAACAAAAATATATAGCAACTGACTGCGTTAATTGATAACAATTTTATCTTTATTAATGATTATCCATTTTCCAACTTAAATTTTTATGCATGTTTTTAAATACAAAAAAGTTTTTTTTTTCATATTAAAACAAAGGATCAGAAAATATATTAAATATTTATAAATTTATATAATTTTGCATAATTAATGGAAAGTACTGTTTTGAAAAGAGGTCGTAGGATACTAATATATTTTCTACATATAATTAACTTTTGAATCCAACTCTAATTTTAAAGACCATATTTTTTTCTAAAGAATTTTTTCCAATGTTCTCCCTCAAAATAAAATATCAATGATAACTTGGAAAAAAAATACTTTTGTATTATTCTTGTTGTGATTCTCATCTCATTGCAACATTAATATAATTAATGTTTTATAATATTGTACTTGTCGTGACGAGGATCCAAAAAGAATATCTGGTTAGTATAAATTCTTATCTTGGATTCTTATCTTGGTTAGTATACTAATATATTTGTTTTTCTTTCTGTTGCGTATCTTAACATGGTTAGTTAATTTTTTAGAAATCAAAAGTAAATAGACGCCATACGACATTGAGAATCACCAAATGAGACGCTTCTGCATATTATTTCCGGTTTCTCCATTTATGAAGTCTACATCTCTACAAGGCATCCAATCATTAGTTCTTTTTCTGTCTTAGGATTAACATAATTAATTTTTAATTTTAAGGATTAAATAATTAATTTATTCTCCTTCATTCTAAAACAACAAAAATAATAATAAACCATAAAACACAAGAATGTAGCTATCATCCTTTGAAATAAGACGAAATCACCAAAAAAAAAGAAATAATAAGACGACGAAGTTAAAACAAAACAATAAAAATTCTTCAGGACCATCTTTTATTCCATTTTGTTTCTTGACATGGGGTGCACGAGTGGATAACAGAAAGGTAATAGGATTTTTATTCAGTGTGTGTCTATGGTCGTTCTTATATATATATATTCTTGGTCTTTATACTTTTCAAGAAAAAAAATATTTAAATTATCCTTTGATAGAACATTTTAGACAAAAAACAACTTAAATAAAAGTGTGAATAAATATAAGTGTCAAACGAGTCCACCCTTTTAATGAACGTGTCGAATTTTTATTAGGGACACAACAAAACACAACATGCATGGGACAGAATATTTAATTTAATGCATGAAAGTGACCAGGTAGGAGTACCGAATAACGTGGCTACAGCGGATTGGAATCTGAAGCGGAAACTGCAATCATGAATTCCTCATCCAATTCCAGCACGCTCATTGTATGTGGCAAAAGGCACACTTCCAAATCAATGCTCCCTTCTCCTTCACGACCTGGGTACGATGTTACTTTTCCATCAAATTTGTTGGCATAGCCACTTCTAACAGCTATCGCTTTTCCCATTCCAAATTCATTCCCATACATGTTGAACCTGGGCGAGCTACCCATCATCACACAGTACGGATCAAAATAACGACCAATTTGATATATCAACGGACACTCTAACCATTCTTTCAGCGATTGCATCACTGCTTTGTCGTTATGGTTTGCAACAGACACGTGCAACTTCCATGCTGCCCACCCTAGATCATTCTCAAGCAATTCCCCTGCGGTTGCCGTTCCTGCACTAAGTGTATGAATTGAGTTTCCAAAGTACTCCTCAGCCAACGCTGGTTCCATTCTTGTTCTGTTGTTTGTGGAAAACTTGCAACTTGTTCTCTCATTATATGGTAAACTCCTCGCGCGAGTTATGCATCTCCAAACAAGTGCCGATAATGATTGGAATGAAGAGATTTTGGTTGTATTGGACTCCAAGTTCGCCTTTGCTTTCAGTTTTGCTATAGAGTGTGCTGAAAAGTGGAAGATTCTCTCTCTCAACAAGGGTGCTTCAAATCTGCTAATAAACTCCTCGTGATGTTTGAAGGGAAGATTGATTAACGGACCACAACCCTCTGGAAACCAGCGTTTGTGAATGGGTGGATGCGAAATGATGGGAACATGATCATGTGCATGGCCTTGAGCTTGAGCTTGAAAGATGTGAGACCATGTGTTGAAGAAGTTCCAATAAGAAGTGCCATCACCAATGACATGGTTCATGGAGCAACCTATGAAAACACCATCGACTAGTTCAGTGACTTGGATGGACAACAGCGGCATGGTGTGACCATCATGGTTCACTACTTTGTGATGATCGAATAATGAGTGAACAATGGGTGGGACATCAACGGGAGAGAGGATGTCAGATATGGTGATATCTAACGTTGCATGGATGAATCTAGCTCCAGAACTGTTTGTGCAATCAACAAAAACAGCATAAAAGGGAGGGTGTTGGGTTTTGTGGGTGACAAGGCGACCAGACAATGGACAGAAATGGAAGAGGGTGAGAGAAAGAGAATGCTTGAGTTTTTCCAACAGGTTCTCCATGAAACCTTGTTGATCAACAAGTGGTGAGGGCTTCTTGAAGAGGAGACCCTTTTGGATATAGTGAGCAGACAACATAGCAATATCCCAAGGTGTTAAATAGCAGATTTGGTTTGATTCATGCTGCTGCTTGATGAAGCATTCTGAAACGCGTTGAACTGCAGGAGTGCTCGTCATTCTCGTACAACGCTTGCAGAATTCGGTTTTGTGCTGCAAAAGAGTTGAAATATATGAACAATATATATGCGATTGTCATGGTTATATACTTGTATAAGTAACCATTTCTTTTGAACATTTTGTTATACGGACAATAATTCGTAGTGGGAGTATGAAAAAAATAAAAGATACATTTTTTTGGTAACGTAAATACAAGATACTTAAGATAGAAATGGAGAATTATACTCCGTATATTATCATATATAAGATGTTAATTATTTTTTGATATTTAAATAATGAAACTCCGCAGGTTAATTATTATACTACAAGAAAAAATGTAAATTTTCAATGGGCATAATTCATCGGTAATAAGGAATATTTGTAAAAAATTCTTTATTATATTTGTCGAAAAAAGAGTGTCGGAAAAAAAATTCATCGAAAATAATTTAATCCGTCGAAAATTTTTGACGAATATAACTATCAGTAATTATTGGTCAAAAATTTTTTACGGATACATCCGTCGGATATATCCATTGGAAATTATCGATGGATATATCCGTCAAAAAATTTTATTAATGTAACAACTCTCATATTTGGTTTCTCAAGGATTCTATTTCACGACACTTCACCCATCCCTATATTATTCTAAGTTAAGTACGTTTAACTGTGGTGTTCTGATGACATAAGCTACCGAAAAATAGATGCATGCTATCAGTATAAGTAGTACAAATTAATTCATTTAAGTCATCTTCAATTATATAATCTCATACTTATATTATCTTTGGATCCCTCTCATTTTGGTGTGTCTGGACCGTTATAAAAATATAATAATATATAATAATTATATTACCAATAATAATAATTATATTATATTTAATTAATCTTTATTTATATATATACTTACTTTTATAATTAACAATCTACTTATTTCTATTTAAAATTAATATTGTGATACAATTTAAATTGTTTATTATAAATTTAAAATTTTAAATAATAATTTATATATTTAAAAATGAGAAGGGTTATAATAACACCGATGTAACTTTTACTAAGCATTACACCGCTCAATAAATTTATATTAAATGTGAATTTTTTAAATTCAACCGTTAGATTGAAAGAAAGTGTTCATATTTTTGTATATTTTGAAATGTATATATATGTCAATTTTGTTTTACAAGAATGAAGTATCAAATTATATTGAATTAATATAAAATTTTGTATATATGATCTAAGAGTAAAAAACTTTCAATCTAACGGTTGAATTTATAAAATTCACATTTAATATAAAGTTTTTAAGCGTGTAATACTCAGTAAAAGTTACACCAATGTTATTATAACCTTTCTCTTTTAAAATATTGTTTTTATAAATTAAATTTTAACATTTTAAATAAATTATTAATTAACTTAATATATTTATTCATCTTAAATCTAAGATATAAAATTCAAAAAATGTATTTATCCTTGTTTTATTTTCTAATTATTAATCATTAATAAAATAATAATTTAAAATCTTATCTAATTATATCATAATATTTTCACATCAAATTTAAAACCAGATATTAGTTATACAAAAATATCAAGATCATATAGTAAATTGTCAATAAGATTCTAGTTAAATAATTTAAAATAATTAATTTTTCAACTATATTGTTTGCTAATAATTTATTTCAAAGCTAATCAATTTTTTCTATATATTAATTATTAGTAAAATTTAATAACTTTTAATTTAATAATTAGATCGATGAAATTCAACATATACCATGAGTTATTAAGCTGAGTAACTTTATTAAGAGTTACTTTGTGAGTCATTTGATTTCTCATTCTCTCTCTATATATATATATATAGATATTTAAAATTTATTGATGATCTTTTTTAATATATAATTGTCAATTTTCATAAATTTTTTTTACATTTTCGACAAATATAATTTTTATCGAAAACATTCCATCAAAAATATAACTTGTAGAATTTTCTTATTTTTATAATATTTATCATGTGATTTACGATGAAAGACCACAAACTTAAATATTGTGTTTGATCAAGAAGAAAAAAATAAGTGAAAAATAGATCGGAGAGAAATATGTAAAAAAAGAAGAAAGATAGAAATTTAATTATTTGATAAAAAAAATATGTGAATAATGTATGAGAAATAAAATTATATAAAAGAGAAAAAAAATAAGTGAGACCCACCACCTTTTAAATTATCTTCTTCCTATTTGGCATGATAGCTTATCTATTTTCGTTTAGGGTGAGTTATTAGTCTTCTCAGTTGACCTATTTTTGTTTAGGGATGGGTATACGGACCTGTCGACCACCACTAGTTATTGGTGTGCGTGAATTAATTGATCTCTAGTAGTCTGTACGAAACCGTGAAAGGATAAAGACGTAATAAGCGTTAATACGTTTTACAAGATTAATTAGCTTAATTTCCACAGTGCTTTAGCACGTTTTCCTGTCCACAATCATAATCGCAAAACAAATCTTGTTGCAACTTTGAATGCTCCATGCATTTGCTTTGGTTAGACATGATGGATATGGGAGCTTTAACCTGTCTTTCCAACTATTGGACAATTAATTATTTTCATTTAACAAAAATATCTAGATAAATTCTATGTTACCCTCGTATATTTAAAGGGTTTTGACACTGTTATTTTTTTTTTCTAAATATTTGACCATTTGATTTATAATTATTTAATTTTTAACATGTTTATATTTTTATTTTAATATATATTTTCTTAAAAATTTTAATACATATGCGAAATATTTGGATTTAGTAAGTATATTTTTGATATATTATAAGTCATGATAAATTAAATTTTTTTACATTAGTGTATAAATTATAAGGAACAAATTGTTTAAAAAATTTACAAAATCTTCCTCAAATTTATCAAATAAAATCTTATTGTGTTCTTCTCAAAGTTATTTTGATTTTTACAAAATGATTTAAAACACTTGGACTAATATTTAGTGAAAAGAAATGATAAATTAATTATTTAGGTCATTTGTTTGTTAAGAATATATCACTTAGTATAGAAGAAAAAAATAAAAAATAAATAAAAATAAAAAACAATATATATATATATATATATATATTATTTTATTTTTATTAGTTTAAAAAATTTACTGTACTAAAATATCTAAATTTACAAAGATACCATAATAACTCTCAAGTATATAATACTAGAGTGTCACAAATCTGGTGGGATTATGGGGGGCTCACGTGCAGTGTTGGTGTTGATCGGTTTAGTTTCATTATTATTTTTACATAACTTTGAAAAAATTATTAGGTAGTTTAAAATTATATAACAGTCTTATTTAATTATTATATGATATGTATTTAAAATTTTAATTAATAACAAATTAATAACACTTGATTATATGTAATATAAAAACTAGTTAAAAATCATATTATTGAGGAGACTATAGGACAACCTATTTCTTTTTTCTTTTTTTTTTCTTTGTGATTTTGGCTTGGTTTCTAGGCTAAACGACCATTTTAGAGCATTTTTACAAATTATTTACTTTATCTTTTAATTAATATTTATCTTTCTATTAACTTATTAGGATTAATCTTCTATATTTTTTTTTCTATCCTAATTAATATTACTTACTCTTTTGACTAATTGGAATTTTTTAACTACTTAAAATACATGTCTTTAAAAATTTATGATTAATGTATTCCATCAAAATAAAAAAAAATATATTTTAATTAGAGTATTTTAGTTTAAAAACTAATACATCAAATATTATAAATTAAGTCTTACACAAATAAATATATAATTATTTTCAATTGAGTCTCATAAATAGAAGAAAAAAAATTAGTAAATTATAGCAGATTTGGTTGATAATATAAAACTGGCTTCAAACGTGACACTACAGAAAAAAAAAGTTACTATCATTTTCTACATGTTAATTTAGAATTATATTAGTCTCTATTAATATAATGTTTTGTATAATAAAATTAAAACTATTCATATACATATTATGAGTTTATACTAATAGTACATTAATTATATATATATATATATATAATTATTTAAACGGAGTTCTATTGGTCACGTAGATCAGTAGATGTTACGTGAATACATAGGTGGATGCCAAATTTCATTAATATATCTGGAACCAGAACGACAGGCCGTTCTGATTCTAGAATGTCAAACACAAACGGTCGGTGATTATAATTCACGGTTGTGAATCGTGCAAGGAAAAAGACCCAAGGTACAAAACATTTCAAACATTTGATTTGGTATTATTGTCAATGGGGATTGATAACTTCAATTGCTAAACATTTGGGCTATACAGTGTATCATTAAGGACAATACAGTATATCACTAATAGTAGCAAATTTTATTTCATTGTTGGTCAAACTGGAGTGAACCACTTACTACCAAATTGACACTATACAGTCAAGGATGAAACGACATGGTATTTTCCCTTGAAGTCATTGATCGATGTACCCCAACAACAACAACTTGTTCTTGAGGAGGTACAACCTGAAGTAAAGGAAGAGGATACACAAGACCAACATTTCACCACACAACCACATGTACAGGTAGATAATGTTGATATCCTATCAGCCATTCAGTGTTATATGGTAGATAAGATGTATTATTGACACCTTCAGCGTTATCCAGATGATTTTTCTTCTCAGTAATTTCTTTGAACTTTTTTAGTATATGTTATGTTATGTTATGAATTTTTGTTTTCAGTCTCTAAACCATATATCTACCTTTGAATTTATTATATGTTATGAATTTTTATTTTCAATTTTTGAATCACATTGCGGCATTTTGTCGAACGTATGTATGTGGTTGGCGTTTTAGAACGGCCCGTTCTGAATCTAGAACGGGTCGTTCTAAAATCAAAACGACCTGTTCTGCTGCACTCGTGGTGTGTTAATTTTGCATATGGAACGGCCCGTTCCAAATTCAAAATTAACACACAACGCAACCAGAACGGGTCGTTCTGGTTTCAGAATGGGTCATTCTGGTTCTAGATGCATTAATGAAATTTGGCATCCACCTATGCATCTACGTGGCATCCACGTGATCAACAAACTTCAGTGGAGCTGTTTTGTGTCGTTA